GTTTGGATTATCAAAAATCTATTTCTAAGCTATCCAATACAATTTTGAATATAATTAAATTTCAAAAGCCTTTATTATTTTTATCATGTTTGTTTTAAGCAACAAAATTAAAAATCGAAGTTCAATGCGTCCTGTATAAAATTTATTATCATCATTCTGATAAAAGAAAACAAAATAATATAAATTAGCCCATTTTACAATGCGTGAGAATTTTTCCTGTAAAGTATGTTTCAACTAAATAAATCACGCTTTTCATTTTTTATCGGCTGTGCGGTTGATATGTAGACACTATAGTCCGGTACCATCATAAAATCACACGCATACTAATAAAATTTTCATTGACTACTAACACAAATACCATAGGTGGCTGCAAAGAAATTRCATATTACATAAAATATATTGCCCCTTGATAAAAAGACATACGAGCAGGCCTCTTTAACAATAATAATATTATTAGGTACTGTACATATCGTGAAAGTTTAAACACTGAACCAAAACAAAGCCCTTATGGATTAATAAGTTGTATCTAATTTTATTTGTTTTTGTTTTCGTTATAAAATTATTAACCTCCAATATTTAAATACTTATTAATTTAGAGTGAATTAAATAAAAATGTAAGATTATAGCAACCAACTTATTTAGTAGGACCCCTTTCAACCTCCTTTACGATATAGCTAATTCTCGGTAATAACAAGTAGGTATGGTTTCATTTATTAGGCATTTGGGAATCACTGTAAACTTATGGAAACAGACCACGTATTTTAGTGCAATCAATCGTCAGAATTAACTTGCGTTCCATGATATATTATTATTATGTAGGCACTATGAGAGTATATATTGATAATTAATGACATCTAAATAAACTCGTAGGTCTAACGCTTACTGAATAATTATTTTTAAAATAAGTTATACATTAATTGTCAGGTAAATGATATTGTTGAATATTACCTAAAACGAGTAAAAATATCTACGCTTGATTAAAAGTAACATATTTTGTTCCATAAAGTGAATTTGATAAACATTTCATTAAAAACAAAACATGAAGTGTAGCCAAATATAATCATGCAATATTGCATAGAAAAAAAAGAGTTAAAAAAATTATATATTTTTAAAATAATATTGTTATACAATGAATGCATATTACCTTGAGATCACTAAATTTAAACGTAAATATAGCCACCATTGGTAGAAACCCAATCACCAAGAGCGTTAATAATAGTATTGTGATACGGAGTATGATGTCATAGGTAGCGATGCATGGACTAAAATCCACACAATCATCACAACCTTCAGCACATTTTTTACACTGAAAGTTTATTTCATCGTTATATGTATTTGGTTTCCCCTTAAAAAAAAAAAAATAATAATAATAATAAAGATAAATACATAATGGCCAATGATATGTCAACATTTAAAATAGTGAATTTCTAGAGTAACTGTTCACTACACTCACCAACATAAGCTTTTCGTACTCTTCTTCTACTACGACACCATTGAACGACTTTTCGGTGCTTGTGATATTTGGAAAATAATATCCTTTACGGCACACACACTTGTAACTTCCACGACGAAAACCAAATCCAGCTAACGAGACACACTAAAAAAAAAATTTGATATATAACGTACCTATAACAATGGTGACGAACTCACGGCATGTCTGCCAAAAGTGGCACGTTTGTCAAATTTTAATGACACGTGAAAATTTATGCTATTCATAAAATTTTGCTTGTAAAAATTCAAATAAACAAATTATAATTTTCGTTTGTAAAATTAATTATGCTTATATATTATCAATATATTTATTATGTTTGATTTAGGTAGTATTTACAAACTTTGGGCACGAGAATCACAAAAAAAGATTCACCCTCCCCCCCACAGATGTATAATATAAATTATCTAATATATAAAAATATGTATTATGCATATCAAAATAGGAACGACTGAATAGGTACATAGTACCTATGTATACTGTTATACTGTATCACTGTATAATATATGTTGTTGGGTTTTCTTCTTAAATACAACCAACTTGCTAGACAATCAAAAYCAAATAATCTATAAGACTATAACGATCTACCAGATTTTTAAATTAAAAAGAAAAGCTAAAAAAAACGGCTTTAATATTTATGGACATTTTTTGCCAATTCAATTCCTAATATATAATATAGGTATATTATAAACTATGAAAATAATTATACATTTTTCTATCACGCCAAGTCATAAGATGTTAGGTCATAAAGTCTATAATAATTGCATATTGTTAATACAATACCTAACTATTATTCGACAAATTATTTTAAAAACATTTTATATATATATATATATATTGTTTTTATTCGATATTTTTCAAAATAAAATATTATAAATAAAATAAAATATAAAGACAGATAAGACTGACTGTAGTAGACAAAAACATTTAAATTGGAAAAATATTTACTTAAGTAAAGAAAAAAAATATGGAGCACCCTATAATATGGTCAGTATATTATTTGGCTGATAACCAAATTATTATGTATTCATAATTTGATGAATTATTTCACTCATAAATGTAAAAATCTATAAGTTATATAAAATTAAAATTTTTAGTTTAAAGTTTTAAATATACTTCGTAAAAAGTGTTAACAAGGTAATCACGTTTTAAAATGTTTTATTGCTAACCTATTTAAATAAATTGCATATGTATGAATTATATTATATGCGTGTAGGATATCATGTATTCGTGAAAACTTTTTTGGGTGGTTAGACGYCACCATTTTTGTATAAATTGAATTGTAAAAAGATATTATGTATCAATTCGTATAATAATTGTAAATATGTTTTAGAGAATGGAGAACTTTGATCATACATGGAAATGTGATTGACAGAATA